TGAAGGTAGGTGAATGACGATTCACCAATTTCCACCAAGATAAACGAAATGTATTATTAGGTTTTAATTGGTTTTGAAACTCCTAGATTCTTTTGAGATTCATTGAACTTTTCAATGGCATGTTTCAATCTCGAGTGTGCCCTTCAGGTTTTGTGACTGGGATGCCGAGGATCACAAAACAAGGTGTGAAGTAACCATGCAAATATACTTGGTACCCTTAATATTTACCCCTCAATCGATGTGCCGGTTAACCACACACGCTCCAACGATACTATGATAAACATTAAGTTACCCTTTGCCTACCTTGTTAAGTCCAGGTTAGTGTGCCGGTTAACCACACACGCTCCACTAACAGCTTAAACAAAGTGCAAAGTGTAATTTCATGGATTAGCACCTTATTCACATTTTCCTAAGTAACTAAGATTGGGAATTTATAAGGTTTAGTTACTTAGTATTTATCATTAATACTTTAATGAAGGGAGAATTATAGTCCTTGTCCTACCTGTTCGGCTAACGACCCTCCACCGTCAAGGAAGCGGTGGGTGAGAGTGGACACCCATTAAACTGCCATTTTATAGGCAGTAACCTTATACCCCCCTTATAGACCGGCTTCGTGAATGAGGCCTACTAATGGTAAGACGACTTGCTCTTATACATAATATATTAAACTTTTAATATTATAATAGTATAAGGGTGTATTTTAGACATTTAAAATACTTGGTGGTTTAATCTATTAATTAAACTATACTCTTAATTTAATTAAATTTAAACCATGTCATTATGGAATTATTAATTCTCTTTTAATTAAACACTTTAATTATCTATGAATAAAGTCCATAAGAGTTAATTGAATTATTCAATAAAACATCATAATTCCAATTATTAAATTCAAAATTAAAACCATTTAATTAATTGTTTAAGTTATGAACCTAAGAGTTTTAGAATTCAATTCTTTTTTTTTATCATAAAAAACTTTTTCCAAATTCCAAAACTTGAGGGCAAGTTTTGTAACTCTTGAAAACTTTTGGATTCCATAACTTATGGAGTTAAATACTTGTTTTATGATGAAACTTTTCATGTTCCATAACTTAAGAACAAGTTATGGAATTCTTTAAAACATTAAGACTAAGTTTTGTAACTCCATAAAAAACTTTGAATCAATTTTTTTAAAAACTTTTTCATATCTATAACTTATGGAGGTTTCAAAAAACTCTTTAGATCAAACTTTTAAAACTAATAAAATAATCATATCATTTTATCTTTTACTAAATTTGACCTAATTCAACTCATATAGCAAATGATTCAAATTATACAAATAATTAGTTTTTCACAAAACAAGTAATTATCTTAAAATTTGACAAACGTCATGTTTTTTTTTCCTTTTTTTTTCCAACTTTGAAAATAAAACATTTGCATCAATATAACAGAAAACAACCTGGCTCTGATACCACTGTTGGGTTTTGAGCATTCTAACACTCCTATGGTGTACATGCAACCCTATAAACCTTGGATCTATGTTTTCTCTATTATACATGCAAATATTAAATATTCCAAGGTTTCATCCTAACTAGCATATTATGAAGCACCTATAATACAAAGTTCTAGTTAGATGACATACCTTTTGATGTAGCTTGATGTCTTCAAGCTTTAAGAGCTTAGCCCCAATAGTGTGGAAGCCTCAAGTGGAATCACAAATCACCAAAACACCTTGGAAAACCTTTAGAGAATATGGATACTTGGCTCACACTATGAAATCGGTTATTGCCGTCTTTAGTGTATCCACACTAGCCACTAGCCTAATTTCATGAACCATAAGACCCTTTATATAGTGTGGAGGATTAGGGTTAAACCCTAATACCCATGACCTTTCATTTCCTAGGATCCATGGGTGAAAGCTCCATGGACTATCCATGAAGACTTAGCCCAACCTAAATGAACTTGGCCCACTACACACACACACACACATATATATATATATATATATATATATATATATAATATAGATATATATCTAAGAGTCCATATTTAATTAGTTCCTTTTGATCACTTAATTAATTATAAATAATTTTTGATCAATACTAATTAAATAATATGATTATATATTAATATATTAGAACTTATAATATTAATATAAATCATAATATACTATTCTCAAAAGATTATCTCAAAGATTATCCATATAATTGTGTCGGTGAAGTGCAACCCAAATGGACCATGCCGGGTCGGGTCAAGTACATACCAAATATAGTTATGGACTTAGACATTAATCCAACAGTCTCCCACTTGGATAAGTCTAAAACTATTATTGAGTATGACTTCAAAAAACCAACTGGCAATCGTAGCTCTTAAAGCCGCTGTTGAACTCTGATCTTGTCAATGAACTCTGACCTTTGTCAATTACTTGTCCAGTAGATAAGGGATCATATATTCCTCCATTCTAGATATCATATGGACTGAGACATGGATTATAATCATTCTCTCTGTCCATTGGTTGTTTCCCGATTTTCGATTTATGATGACTGACTGATTGAACAAATCAAATCAGTCCTGGCTTGGCCAAGCACTCACATGTGATCGCTAAATCATCGAGGGGCCCACATATATCGCTTTTATCCCAAAGGTAAAAGGAATGGATAAACTTCGACTCATATGGCTTGTTCTACTACTTGTTGAATCATACACAAAGACACGTTTTATAACATCGAGTTACCAATGCGTTTTCATGCAATCAATGTATAACCAACTCATAGTAACAACTCATATCTCTAGGTTTGAAGAATATAAGATATTATCGTCTCATGATCACTCGTGATAAAATCCATGAAGTGATTCAAATGAGCGCGGGTTGAATCCAATACTCAGAACTTATGAGCACTCATGAGTGTTGTAGCACCACTTTGTCCACCAACTTGGACCTCTACTATCATAACGCAATTGTCATACTATCATAACGCACAATCCATCAACAATCCACATAACATAAAATGGGCCGGCCTTGGTGCCTTAGACCCATTGGTATGGTGAGAAGACTCACCTCGCAAATGCTGAACTGACAAGTTAGAATCAGGTATGTCCCACACACTGATCCTCCTCAACTGCCTATAACCATCACGTGATTAACTTGTCATAATCCCATAATCACCCTCAAACTAAACTCTGCTCAACCCTAGTCAACAGTCAAGGTCAACAGTCCATGTTGACCTCAACTCATCGAGTACACCCATCAACTCGCCGAGTTCCTGTATGACTCGTTAACTCGCCGAGTTACCTTTGTAACTCGTCGAGTTCCTCCCGAGTCCATTCCACTAAGTCCCGCCTCAACTCGCTGAGTCACTCTATTGACTCGGCGAGTTGAGGCGACATAAAATGGGTCGGCCTTGGTGCCTTAGACCCATTGGTATGGTGAGAAGACTCACCTCTCAAATATTGAACTGACAAGTTAGAATTAGGTATGTCCCACGCACTGCTCCACCTCAACTGCCTATAACCATTACGTGATTAACTTGTCATAATCCCATAATCACCCTCAAAGTCAACTCTGGTTAACCCTAGTCAATAGTCAAGGTCAACAGTCCATGTTGACCTCAACTCGTCAAGTACACCCATCAACTCGCCGAGTTCCTGTATGACTCGTTAACTCGCCGAGTTACCTTTGTAACCCGTCGAGTTCCTCCCGAGTCCATTCCACTGAGTCCCGCCTCAACTCGCCGAGTCACTCTATTGACTCGTCGAGTTCATCATTTGTCCAGAAAACTAAAGTATGAACGGACCAAAACCCTAATCCTTCACTGCACTCATCCAGAAACCCAGAAACGGGCAAACCCTACCCCGACTCGTCGAGTCAGCTAAGGGACTCGACGAGTTCCTTCAGTCCATTCCAATTTCAGCCCTTTTCAGTGGGATCTATGGTCCCAAACTCTAGATCCAAACTCCCTTAGTGCAGATACCATGTAAAGTTGCAAACTTTACATGCATGCAAGGCCCTTCAAGGCGATAACCTCAAAACTAGGCTTCTTACAACGTTTTTGTGCATGGAAAGGGCTAGGCTGCATAAAGTGAGCAACTTTATGCCATTGGGAACCTTGAGAGGTACAGATCTGGAACCATATCCTTGTGATAAGTCCATATCCAAGCTTGAATCCATTTTGCACCAAAAATGGCCATTTACTTCCAAGAAAAGGGATCTTATCAAATAGAGATCAAGGTGACGACTTTATACCTCAAAATGATGGCCAAGACAGAGTAGATGTTGGATCTACTCTTTGTTCCTTCCTCTTCAAGCTCTAGAATCCTTCACAAATTCCCCAAAACCACTCACAAAAGCTCTTTCTCTCACTCAAGAAGGTTTAAGATCGATCTAGGGTTTTCTCTGGATATTAGGGTGATAAGGGAGGCCACAAGAGGCACAATAAGTTCTTTAAATAGGGTGAAAACCCTAAAAATTAGGGTTTCTCTTTACAGCTCCTACTCGTCGAGTCGGGGCCTTCCGACTCGTCGAGTAGGACCCAAACCCCGCGTCCCCTAACAGTCTCTACTCGGCGAGTTGGAGCACCCCAACTCGCTGAGTCCATGCACAAAACCCTAAAAGTTATAAAAATAGATCAATACCTGGAACAGGTGTTACACAACGATTTTCACAAGCCTTTGATTAATTTAAAATTCGCGACCCTTAACCAAAAAACGTTCATCATCTCTCTTTATAAGCTCAGACTTCATAAAAGATAACTCTTGTTTGAGCGTTGTAATCTTCGTTTCCTTCATTGCAATCTCATCTACCATTTTGGATTCAGTATCATAATGCTTAACCAAAGTATCAATTGAACTGGTAAAATTTGAATTATGCACAAAGTTTTCATTAAGAATGAATGTACTAAGATCCTTCATTTTAGTCAGAGATGCTTCCATCTTCGTAGTATTTTCTTTCACAAGTTTCTCATTCTCCTGAAACAATCTCTTACTCTCAGAAAGCAGAATCTTCACAGTTGCTTCATGAACTAGCATCATGTTGGAGAAATTGATAGTAGAGAAAGATTCACCATGACGTACCAACACTTTAGCTCCTTGTTTAATGCCTTGTAATCTTTCCTGTTTATAGGCATATTGGTAGTCTCATCATCGAGCAGCGAAGGAGCCAATTCATGTTGAACAAAAACTTCAAAAGAAGTATTATTATAATCACCCACTATATCATCATCATCATCTAGATTATCATCAACAACGAAATAATCATTCTGAGCAATGGGCTCAGAAGTAGGAATAATAGTTCCTTAAGTTTTAACTGAAGGTTCAACTATCGGAGTAGTAGAAACGATTGTTGATGTGACAATGATAGGAGGTGTAATAATATAAGTTGTGATATGTACACTGGTTGATGGAGTAAAAATGGGAATGGTTTGTGGTAAAGAAGCAATGATAGGTTGAGTGGTTGGAATTGTTTGAGTGGTTGGAATTGGTTGTGATGATATAGGTTGAGTGGTAGTAGGAGGGTTGGGTGATTGAGAAATATTAACAATTGGTTGTGTAAGAAATGTTTGAAATATTTCTTTCTCTGTTGGTGTTGGATTGAAGAAGTAGTATTTGTGGGAACCGATGATACCTGAGGATTTTCCGAAACCTTCAAAATTTCAGTCGTTGGTTGTATCGCAGTGGTAGTTGGTTGCTCTTTTTTCTGTGGATGCTCCAAAGACTTCGCATCGTCTTCTTTGTTTTGAACATCAGACTCAACATAAACATCGCTTATTGTCGTCTCATCAACATCAACATCCATCTCTTCATCTACGATAGATGGTTGCACTTTCTTCTTCAACTTTCTTTGCTTTTTAGGCTTCACAATGACAACCTTATCAACAGCCTTAGCCTTTCGCTTTCCACATCCCGCTCTCCTTGTAACAACACTCGTATCAATAATTTCATGTAACTCAGCGGGGATGCGCTTCATATCAAACTTAGGAATTTGTTTGTAAATGTTGATAACTTCGGTATTAGCAGGAACTTTGCTAATCATCACTTCAGGAATCGAACCAATGTAAGAAAAATGTATATATGTAGGAAACACCAAATTCCCAACATTAAGCCTTGGAATTTCTGCCATGCGAACATCCGTTATTTGAGGAACATTGTAATGGTGTTGAGCATGCTTAACCACTATTGACAAAACCTTGCACATGATATTTCAGTATCTTTTGTCGAAGAAGAAGGACTCGCGCATAATTGAGTCAGTAAGACTTGACCTAAGTCAATCTTCTCGTATGTGTAAATGTCATACATCAACGAATGAAATAATTTGATGGCATTAAGTGATCCAGTTGTTCTCTCTGAGAAACATTTACATAAATTTGTGAGCATTGCGTTCCACACAACAGGTGAACACGACTTCTTGAACCTGGACAATAAGTCAACACAAGAGTATACCCCAGCTGATGAAGTACCTTCAACATGTTTGCAGATGAATAAAGTCAAGATTAGAATAAGAATCCCCAGTAGATAGACCCAACTACTTGCATAAATTAGCCTTTGAAATCACAGTTATGTGGGCTTGGATTTCGAAAATCATAACATCCTTGGACTTATTATAACTTTCAGTCGAAAAACCAAGAACCAGAGCAGGTAACGGGACATCTTCATAGTGCACAAGAGATTTCTTCAAAATTGAATGGTTAAGACATTCAATTAGGGGTTGTACAACCACAAGGTATTTAGACGAATCGATATCAGCAACCAAATTTTGATTATGCTTAACAGTGAGTGTAACAAAAGATGCGGACTGATCCATGAAAGAAACATGATCGGTTGTAATTGCGATTGATGAAGTGAAGTGATGAACATAAAGAACACGGATGAAGATTTTAAGGAATTCTGGGAACTTGCTTAAGGATAATATGTGAGCGTAAAGAGGTAAATGGTTATGATAATGGGTATTTATACTGATAGAGATGCCAAACGGTTGAATTTTGAATTTCAAACATCCTGGAATAAGTGCTGAGAGAAACCGCCAAACACCTGCATTAAATGCATGTTCAATCACACGTCAGAATACCATCCTTGCAACCCACGTTCATCATCACGTTAAAAGTGGTCTAATCATAATATGCAAGCTGATCATTCTTGTAACGAAATTGAAACAACTGTCTACCATCACCTTCGTAACAACACCTTTTGTAATAATCACTATCACAATTATAATCACCATCAAAATAACAATTTACATCGTAATAAGAGTCACCATCAGAATTAGAATTACTTTTGTAACATGATTGACTTTCATAACCAGAACCAAGGTAAGGATTTTGGTGTTTCAATATAACAATGTTAATAATGATTGGAATCATAAACACAGAGTTTGTAAAACCTAATTTCAATTTGGAATTAATTTGGAATGTCAAGGGTTTTAAGTGATGAAGAAAAATAGAAAGAAGATGGTATTTTTTTTGGGATTTCACTGAAACCATGTTAACATCAACTTTAGATCATTAACACAAATTTGGATAACCATAATTTCAAATTGGTATATATTTCAAATATCATGTGTCTTATTGCAATTGTTTGTAATGAAAAAGAAATATAGAAAAATAGTGGTAATGATGTTAGTGTTTACAGAAATCATGGTAAAAATGATTTAAGATCACGAACACAGACTTTGTAAAACCCCATTTCATACTGGAATTAATCCGAAACATCAAGGGTTTTAACTGAAAGTGTGTGAAGCGATTAAGAAATGTAGATAAAAGAATGGTAAAGTTGTTTGTATTTCATAAAAATCTTGGTTATAAAGACTTATGATTATAAATACAAGTTTCATAAAACCATAATTCTAAGTTGGCAATAAACTCAGAATATCAAGGTTTCACTGTGGCATTGCGAAACATAAAGTTTTTCGTCAATCTAGTATTCAGTATTGAACAACAAGTGTTCACCGTCAATTCATTTTTTTTATTCTAGAACAATAGATGTTCACCGTCAATTCCTTGTATTTGAAGCAAAAGAGAATTTTTTTTTTGATTTTTCAAAAATTTTAAGAAAAGAAAACATTTTTGGGTTTTTCAAAAATTTTAAGAAAACAAAATGTTTTTGGATTATTGAAAATTTTTAAGAAAAAAAATGTTTTTGGATTTTTGAAAATTTTTAAGAAAGAAAAATATTTTTGGATTGTTCAAAGTTCTGATTCAAACAAAAAATTAAGACTACGATGGCTCGCAATCCATCACAAATGAACAGTAAACTTAATGAATGAAAGTAAAGTAAATAAACTGAATACGACGCGTTACGATGGATTGGAGCCCATCATAAATGAATAGTAACTAGATACTGTGAAACTGACGTGTATAATAACGACAAAGAAATTTTACCTGATACGAAGTGCTACGATGCGTCGTAGCCCTCCGTAATTGAACAATAATCTTTTTCATTTTGATTTTGGAACTGATTCTTCCTCCATAATTCCAATCCCTTGAAGTATTCTCATAAAAGTAGCTTCATGCAACGCCTTCATGAATATATCAACAAGTTGATTCGTAGAACTGACAAAATGAATCTCAACATTCCCATCTTCCACATGATCTTTTATAAAGTGAAGTCGGAGTGCGATATGCTTTGTCTTTGAATGTTTCAAAGGTTTGTGACATATTTTGATTGTAGTTTCTGAGTAACAATATAATGGAATTGTTTTCATGTTCATTGCATAGTTTTAGAAATTTAGGGTTTGAGAGTACTTGGAAAAATGAGAATCATGAAATCACTTTCAATTTGAAGTATTTCGGTGGTACTCCCGAAACTTCAATTGGATAAGACTCAGAAGAGATGCAAGAACAGAGAAGAAGATTATTATGATCTTGGTGTACCATTAATAATGAGCAAAAACAGATTATTATGTCTAAAAACTGCCCAAACTATCACAACGCAGTTTTCAAACTGTTATAAAAACATGTTTTAAATAAGGGTCAAGGTAAAAGTAAAAAACGTGTCAATTTTCTAAAATCCAGATTTCGAGCCCAGTCAGGGGCTCTACCGCTTGAACCCTGCCATGCGTTGCCGCCCCTTACACCCCACTACTAGGGGCACTTCCCCTGGAGCCCCGTTCATTCAGGGGCTTCACCCCTAAATGTCAGGCTACTTTGAATCTTGAACAAACTCAAACAAGTGTGCACTCCGCACCACCATTACTTGATTAATGTTTAACAAGATTACATTTGGTCAACAAATTAATCTATTACACTTAAATAATATCGGTGACACAAATCACCAACACATAGTCCCTTAATTGACTTTGAATCCAAAAGATTTGGGAAGTGAAAGCAGCAGCAGCGATGTATTCATCCTTAGTAGTTAAAAGTGATACACATGTTTGCTTCTTTGATTGCCAAATTACTAGCTTTCCGTCTATGAATTGACATTCTCTAGAAGTATTTTTGTGATCCATACCACATCCACTAAGATCAGGATCAGAATAAGCTTGTACAAAGAAACCTGTATTGGATATATACCACAACCTTAATGATCTATTTTTGCGAAGGCATCAAAATATGTTCTTCATAGCCGTCATGTGAGGTTCTCTTAGATTCAATTGGTACCTTTCACAATAAAATAAAGCAAACATGATATTAGGTCGAATAGATGTGAGATATAACAGTGACCCAATCATACTATGATATAGAGTAATTTCAGTTTTTGGTTTGCCAAGTGAAGGTGTTAGCTTTTTTCCAAACTCCAAAAGTGTTTTTATATTTGTATCACCATTCATTCCAAACTATGTAAGCAATGTCTTCATAAAAGCCTCCTGATTGATGACTATTCCCTCTTTACTCTTTCTTATATTCAAACCAAGGAAAAATTAATTGGACCCATTGAGTTCATCTCAAATTTGGTTTCCATTAAATTTTGAATTTCAACAGTTTATGAAGGAATTGTTAAACCGAAAATAATATCATCAACATAAATGTTGGCAACCATCAAGTGATCCCCAACCTTTTTGCAAAAAAAAGTTGGATCAAATGAACCTTGTTTAAATTTGGACTGTTGAAGAAAACGAGTGAGTTGCATACCATGCCCTCGAGCTTGTTTTAGACCATAAACAACTTTGTCCAGAATATAGAAAATGATTTGGATATTTTTCATTTACGAAACCCGGAGGTTACTCTACGTAGACTGTTTCTTCAAGTTTGCCATTCAAAAATGCACATTTAACATTGATACGAAAATAAAGTTCTTGTATGCAGCATAAGCTAGAAAACTACGAACAACTTCTAGTCTTGCAACTGGAGCAAACGTCTCTTCATAATCGATGCCCTCCTCGTGAAAGTATCCCTTCACAACGAGCCTGACTTTGTTTCGCACTATGTTACCTTCTTTATCTAGCTTGTTGTGAAATACCCACTTCAAAGCTACAACTGATTCTTCTAGAGGTGTTGGAATTAAATGCCATACTTTTTTTCTTTCGAATTCATTCAGCTCAGCTTGTATTGCCTCCACCTAATCAGAATGATCAAGATCCATTTTCACCATTTTGGGTTCGATTTTGGAAATGAAAGAATTAAAAATGCAAAGTTCTTGCTTGATGTTTATTTTGGATTAAGTGTCTAAGCCCATAACTATAATTGGTATATACTTGAACTGATAGTAGCACAATCCTTTTGGGTTGCCCTCATAACTAGCAACTAGACATGATGACTTTTGGAGAAAGGTTGAATTTATTATTTGATTAATAAATTGAAATAAATGATTTATAAATGTATTATGAAAATAATATATTAATTAGAAATCATATTATTTAATTAATAGTTAATTGGAAATTAATTAGAATTAATTTTGGGATTAATTGAATTAATTAAAAGTGCAGGGGTTGTTTAGCAAATTATTGATAGTTGAGGAAAGAGGCTCTAGAACCTCCCTAGAAAGGGTTGGACGAAAATTCTAGGAGGCCTAGAATTTTCGTCCAAGGGCTCCCGGATGAGGATTCTTGGGCAGCTTGGTCCTTAAGCCAAGGAATTAGGGTTTCCTCCTAAAACCCTAGCTTTGGCTCTAAGCTACCTCACTATATAAGCAACCTTACCCCTTCTCATTTTCGGCCACCTAGAAACCCTAGAAGGATAGCTGAAAATCTCAAGCCTCCTCCCCTCTCTCCTCTCTCATCCTCTTGCTTAGTTTGGGTGTGATCTACTAGAGGTGTGACAC